ACAGATAGGAGGCAGACGAATCTGTAGATTTCCTGGATATATTTGTATATATTTGATAAATAATAATAATAATGGCCTTAATGAATAAAAACAGTAAAAAAGTAGGTGTTGCTCCTACAGCGTAACCTTAATGCTGTTATTTTATAATATCCAACTATTGTGGATCCATCCACTCTTAATAACACAAAAGAGTGTTTCCTGCTTGCAGTGAAACGTGCTGCTCGGTATTGTCTTCGTCCGCGAGGTTACATTTAGCACCCTCAGCTTGGAACGAGCTGCCGAACGACCGGAAAACGACAGAGTTCATTTCATTAAGTGCTTTTAAATCAAAACTCTGAATCCTGGAGGATTTTTGTCACTGTGAGATACTCGCTGCTGCCATCTTGGCCAGTTTTTAATCTCAGTGGGATCTTCCTGGTTAAATAAATTTTAAAAATCACCAAAAGCTTCCTGTTTATACGTCTTACACATGTGCTGTAGTGTATTTGTTGTAGTTAGCCCAGCACAGCGTGCTGCGTGCTTGATGTGTGACTCACAGAGGGTTTTATCGGTGATCTGTCAGACACGAACAAACAGCTCGTGTGCCTGTAACACCTGCGTGGTGCAGCTGGTAATTTGCTCTATTTGTTTAAAAAATAAATCTGCATTAATAGAGCTTTAAACACCGAGGGACTGTACCAGCAGATCTCATGAGCTTTCATGAATACAGACATGACTTCATAATGCACGTTGATCCAGTGCTGATGTGCACACATAATGTGAAGGTGAAAAACAAATCTAGATGTGCAAATACACTCTGTGGCTTTTTCCCCGAAGCCCCACCGGGCGTCCCTCTGTTCACCGTTCCAGGAAGCAGGATGACACGCTGACTGGCAGCAGCGCAGAGACGCATTAATGTGACAGTTTGAGTTAAAGCACCGTAATAAAAGGGACGGACTCAACTTCACTGTTTGCCACATTTTAAAAGCATTTAAGTGATATCTGAACTGATAACGAGCTTTTACATTTGTAAGATTCATTTTACTGCTTCAAACATACAAAATAAACGTTTCATGACTCTTGCTCTTCATTAAGGGGAGATGCTGTGGGACGGCCTCTCCACGCTGCTGCCGTTGTTATTTAGGACTTGTAAACAGTTTACACAGACAGTCCTGTGACAGCTGAGCAGGATGTGAGCTTCCACCCGTCGCAGCTCACTCGCCTTTCTTTTGACTTTTTGCACTGGCTCCGATTTTTCAGCGAGGTTGTTGAAAGATGAGCGAGGTGTCAGGGACAGCAGAGATTGCAGCGATGTTACAGGATCCAGGGAGGAAAATTTATTGTGTTGGTCTTCCTGCAGCCCGCCTGGAGTTGGCAGCGTTTTGAATGTCACATTACTGTGTGGCTACAGTCGAGCTATTTCCAGTTTGCTCTGGACTTCAGGGACCAGAGAGGAAGTAAATGTACACAGACCGAGTTCATGCATGTGTGTGTGTACAGAGCATTGCATCATTACATATCACAGCACTCAGAAATAACTGCTTTAAGTGTGTGTGTGTGTGATAAATCATAGCAGAGGGTGGTGAACAATGTGTGGCCTCTGGTCTTGGCAGGGCAGGATTATTTCAGTCAGTGTCGTGTTGTGAGTCAGAGGGGTGTGACATTTAAATCTGTCCTGTCAAGAAAGACGGTTTCGTGTGTGTGTGTGTGTGTGTGTGCCTTTGTGTTGTGGCAGCAGGGGTAAGGGTTTGGGGAAAGTGGGGTCAGGTGGCGGGGGTGTGTGAAAATGTTAAAAATGCCATTTCTGCTTACACCCTGTCTCTCTGAAAAAGTGACTGTCCCCCTCTCTGTGGGTCCGTCTGACTGTCCGTCTGTCTCTCCGTCTTTCAGATAAGTTGTTCGGGAAGCGGCTGCTGCAGGCTGGAAGACACATCATGTCTCATAAGTCTTGGATGAAAACGGTGCCCACGGAGAACTGCGACGTCCTCATGACATTTGCAGGTCAATCAAACACACACGTTCCTGCTGGTTTCTGACTGACAGCTCATTCATTGCTTTGATATCACAAACACAGAACTATGTCTGCAGTTAACCCTCAGTGTGGAGCTGCTGCTCATCATCACTTACATTTTAATCTGCTTTTCATGTAGGGAAAGAGGGTAATCCCTGTGTTTGAAATGCTGGAACACTTTTCTGTTCTATCACAGAGGATCTCGGAGGCGCTGTGCCTTTTTTTATTGTTCGGCCCATTGTGATGTCCTGGGAATGTCTTGAGGAAACAGTTTTGGCAGAAACAATCACATGGACCAAAAAACTGAAATAATTAATGTTCAGGGGACAGACACTGTCTCTGTTTTTAAGATGAGGCTCACAGCGCTCCTTTTTGATAAAGCTTAAAGTTAAACCTGGATCAGATCTAACTTAGACTGCTGAGGGCTGCACTGTTTCTTCTTCTACTCTCTATATCAGGGGTAGGCAACTCCAGGCCTCGAGTGCTGGTGTCCTGCAGGTTTTAGATCGCACCCTGGGTTAACACACCTGAATTAAATGATTAGTTCATTACCAGGCCTCTAGAGAACTTCAAGAAATGCTGAGGAGTCATTTAGCCCTTTAAATCAGCTGTGATGGATCATGGACACATCTAAAACCTCCAGGACACCGGCACTCGAGGCCTGGAGTAGCCTACCCCTGCTCTATATGTTTAAACACAATTTGGCATTTACTCATTAGTTATTATTCATCTCTGGCTCTCTTCCACAGGGCGTCTGTAGTCTTGCCTTGCTCCCCTCACTCCCAACCGGTCCCAGCAGAGGGCCGCTCATCCCCGAATCTGATTCTGCTTTAGGTTTCTTCCTGTTTCAAGGCAGTTTTTCTTTCCCACTGTCACCAACTTCTGCCTCACAGAGGATCATGTGATTGTCGGGGTTTCTCCCCATGACTGCAGGGTCTTTACTTACCAAGACGACTGTTGGGAGCTGATTGGCGGTGGCATACAATATAACTTATGTTATATGTTAACTTTGCAATAACTGCAGTGAACACGAGCTTTTACTCTGACGCTCAGTCAGTCACTGTAGTATCTGTGGAAAAATGTTAGATGCGCTCTTATTTCCTAGTTTCACTTTCAGCTGTAAGCTGAGGTTGGTGCCCTGCAGGCCGAGAAGAACGTGATGATTTTTACAGCAACAGTGTTTCTCCTGTGTTCAGTAGTATGACCTCACACCTCCAGCTGCTGCTCAGAAATAAAAGCAAAGACTGTGGGAGTACTCGGCAGATCCTACGGGGGCGTCAACACGAACTCTTGTTTTTCCACTTCCTGTTACAGATACTACAGATGACCACACGTTACTATGGCTACTGAACCACATCCGACTGGGAATCCCAGAGCTCATCATCCAGATCCGACATCATAAACACACGCGAGTCTACGCATTCTTCATCACCGCTACGTATGAAAAGTAAGAAATCAACCAATCAAATCAGAAAGGAGCCTCTGGTTCATGCTTCTGTTCATTTCGCCTCTGTCAGTGCGCCCCAGGGTGGCTGTGGCTACAATGTAGCTGCCATCACCAGTGTGTGAATGTGTGGATGACTGGATGTGTGAAGCGCTTTGGGGTCCTTAGGGACTAGTAAAGCGCTTTACAAATACAAGCCATTTGTTGGCTGATGCTGCTGACAGTAGGACCGCAGCACTTTACTACTGATTATCATCTCGACTGTTCTTTTAGTTAATCAGTTAGTTCAATGTTTCACTCTCTCCTTTAAAATGATTAGAATATTACAGCTTTATGATCAAACTTGCTTGTTCTCGCCTTCACTGCTTCTTCAGACATATCATAGTTCGGGATGTTGGTGCTGTTTTAACTGTGATCAATAATTAACAAACAGTGTTGGGGAGTAACGGAATACATGTACCGCCGTTACGTATTTAAAATACAAAATATGAGTAACTGTATTCCGTT